AAGAAAAATCGGGCTGGACGGATCATGACGGATGGATGGAAGACGGACTAAAAAATTGGAATTGGGTTGGTTGGGTATATTTTTTTGTCGGCGCTTGTTTTTTTTTGTTGTTACATCGTTTTCATGTCGTCTCATGTTATGTCATGTTTCTTTTTTTCTTCCTCCCCCCTTTTGTTTCTTTTTCCCCCAGTTCTTTTCCTTTTTCTATTCGTATTTCGTTTTTCAATTTTTTTTGTTCTCCTTGTTTTTCTGGTTATTTTGACTTGTGGATTCGTTTTTGAGGATGGGTTCAAGTCTGGGAGTTGACTGTAGGCGGAAGTGCGGAAGAGTTCTCTGAGGGTTGTGTAGTTACTAGCCAGCTAGTTGGTAGTTAAAGAATGTGCTCCCGAGCGATCGTTATCATCATGTCTGTGCAACTGTGTCTATGGGTTCAAGTTGCATACCCTCATAAAACGTTGTAGACGCACGCAACCTTTCTTCTCGTCCGATGGTTACACTTGAATAGTGTCCTCTGTACTTGATACTTTTGGGTATATGTCATCCGGTCATTACATCCTCCTCCTCTGCAGTGCATCCCATCATCACATATCAATCTGACATTAATCCCGCCTTGCCCCGTTAATCCATGTCAAGAGCCTGAGTAACCACAAATCCCCACGTGCTGTCAGCACAAAGTCATGGACGCATATTCCAGTATCCATCTCCCCCAACGCTACATCCATGTGTCACTGACAGCTGAGCATCCACAGCAAGGCATGAAAAACACGATCGGAACTGAGCAGAACCATTACTAGTATCTATCACTAGTATCACTGTCAATGGCATCACACCCACTGCCTCCTAGTGTGGCAGAGATTGTAGTGATTACTATACTATTGACTCGAGTCAAAGAGAGCTGACGCCGTGAGGGGAATGTGGTTTTGCACTTTGAGCATGATGCGTGATGCGTGATGGGGGGAGCTTGACATGTCGTAAGCTAGAGCTGGAGTAGGGAAGACAGGAGAGAGAGGAAGGAGTTGGAGTGGGAGTATGGGTTGACGAGATCATGATCATGATGCTGTTTGGTGTTTGGTGGTCAGATGGCATCAGCCAATTGAAGCTACTTTCTGAACAATATCGCACCAGTATTTGGAATCCCGCTCTCTCCGTTTCACCACACTTGTCTTGCTCGCCAACATGCTATCTAACACCAACCTGCAACTCTACAACCCGTAGCTTCAAAATGCTCAAGCTTCGAGTCGAGTCGAGTGACATGGTGTGCATGTCACTTGGAGAAGCGTCACATTTCACGACGCGATTCATATAAGCGACAACCAACATTTCGGATCCGGACCCGTCGACTTGCTAATTCAAAATCGCATTGGAGGTTTTGAATACGCGTGGCAGTGATCCGATCCCGCATCTTGAAGCTGGTTGACATGTCGCCGCACCAACGCACCGCCAACATGGAGTTAGATCTGGGGTACGAGATCTATTTCCGTCTCTGTGCTGAGAGAATGTAGGTACATAGCCTTGCCTCTCGCATCATCCACTAGTCCCCCAAGCGGCTGCGCTGGACGAGGGAGGTTGGACGGGGTGCCTTACATACCATGACTCCAGGCGCCCAGCGGCGCGTCGTATCGCTGAAACCGTTCCAGCGTCTCGAGTCAACGCATAGGGATCGCGCCTCTTGGATGGCAACAACATCACGACAGCCTGGAGGTGTGAGACTGTGAGTGAGTGTGCTATAGACACTCTACTTTCTGTGGTATGTGGTATGCGGTATAATATGGGAGCCAGCCCTATCCATATAGGAGCTAATTACAGCCAATTAACGGTTACAGCGCAGATGTAACCCCCGGCGTATGACACGGCGACAAACCCCATGCTGGTGTCATCATGCGCAGCCACGACCATCTTGCACTGCCTGGCTGCCTGCGACAACACGACACTATTGGCATTGTTTCGAAGCCTGTCTGCGGCGGATGGGGAAGGGGTTTAATACCGTTGTTGTAGGTATGCCCAGGGGGACCAGCCACCCCTTGAATGTGCCATTGCCAGCATGTGGAGGCTTTATATATTCCAGCGTGGTCCTTTGGGGATCAGAAATCTGTCAATCTTGTCTATCGTCTGCTTCACTTCACTTCAGTTGTGTTCTATTCCATTCTGCAACATCGTTCCCGGTCTTCAACACTCGCTTCTTCTGCATATAGCAAGCAAACCACCACCACCACTAACGCTCGTTCCTGGATTTTGATTTAACCCCGCCAACACCACGAACCCCCTGCGGAGCTATCGATTTTTCATCACCATCATCCTCCAACTCTCCATCATCATCACCTCCCGCTAACTCTCACCATGTACTTCTCCTCCCTCCTCTCCCTCGTGCTCCTCACTGCCCCTCTCACTACCGCCCGCACCCTCCACGCCCGCGCCGACACCCGCGATCTCTACAAAGCGTACGCGGGCTCTTCCAAAACCTATCCCGGCATAACCCACATGGGCGCTTCGATCGAAGGCGTCTCCGTCTCCTCTTCCGGGGAAGTCTACGCCGTCAACCAAACACACCTCATGAACCTCAACACGGGCACCGCTCTCCACACCGCCTCCAAATCCGACACCAAAGCGTACTTTGCCTCTTCCCGCGTTCTCCGGTCCGGTGAGATCCTCCTGGGCGACGCCGGGAATAAAAAGGTCCTCAAGATCAGCAAAGACGGGAAGGTATCCGCGGACCCGTTCGTCGCGAACGGGAAATGGCTCCAGCCAAATGACATGACGCTGTCCGCGGACGAAAAACACCTCTACCTCTCCGGCATGAACTGGGGCGAGAACCTCGGCGACGCGTGGTATGCTGGGATCTCAGACCCCAAAAAACCCTCCCACCAGCAAATCCCCACCAAAAACGCCGGGCTCTACCGCACCAACGGTATCGAGCTCGATGCGAACGAATGGAAGCTCTACATCACGTCCGCACAAAACTCAGAGTCCAAAAACACCATCGCCACAAAAGTGTATTCCATCTTTTTAAATCCGGAAACCATGAAGCCTGCCGACGGGGAAACGTGGAATCTCGAGCTGGATTTCCACGCTGTCGATGGCCTCGAGAAACAGAAGCTGCTGGCCGCGGATATGGATCTTGATGGGATGAGGATCGATATCATGGGCAATATGTTTTCCACCCTCAACGCATACAATCGTGTTGTCCGATGGAATGTTAACGATAAAACTGATACCACTGTGATCAAGTTGGCCACCGTGGAGCGGCCGACGAATTTGGAGTTTGGTGGAAAGGACGGGACGACGTTGGTCGTCGTTGGGAAGTGTAAGAAGAATAATCCGGATGCGAGTGAGGAGGTCGAAAAGACGAGGGCGTGTGTGGATGAGATCCCTGTGGAGTTTCCGGGGAGAGCGTTTTATGCGTTGAAGCATGGCGCAAAGCCGAACGAGAAGTGTAAGGCAGGCAAGAGGAGGGCGAGGATGGTGTGAAGGCTTAGATGATGTTGGGGATGGAGGATTGGTTTGCGCGGTTGGGGATTCAGGGATCACATTCGGTATTTTTGTGTCTTGTTTGTGTGTCTGTACGCGTTGGCTTTTTTGGGTGTTTGTCCAGATTTGCATATCGTGTTTTTTTTTGTTTTGTTTTTTTTTGGCTGGGGTTTGCGTATGTGTTCAAGTTTTTCACGATACCTCCTTGTTTCTTTCTTTATTTCCTCGTTATCGAGTCCTCTCGGGTCTCCTTTACCCTCCACGTATATGCATAACAGAGTCATGACTATTCATCAAGCGTTCAAGTTCCTGCTTTGCGGAAGTCAGAATTTGTTCCATCCATGTCTCCATCCACACATATGGCAATGAGAAGGACGGATACTAATAGTCCAGGCACCGGTATCATAGCCTCTTTGACCGTGACCGTGACCGCGCGCATCCAAATCGTATACCAATATCTATCGTCAAGTCCATCTGGTGGAAGGTATGCAGACTGAGGGCTAAAAGCAGCGCGTCCGGGTCGGAGAGGAATGTGTTTACGCTGATGGTGGTGATGATGATGATGGTGCAGCGTCTCGTCAGTCTCCTCAGCTCTTCTCCGGACTATCTCTACAAGCCAGGAGTGTGTTGAAGTATGGGGCTCCCAAATGGTGGGGTGTCTATACATTGTGGTCATGCAACCTCACCTTCATCTTCATCTTCACCTTCACCTTTCGTCACCACGCCTGCTTCCGGTGCGTGAGAATCCATGGAATCCCCAAGACTCATATCATATCTCAACTTGATTGATTGATTGATTGTAAACATTTAAGCGCATGCGTCCCGTTGGGATATGGCGCTAGTTACGTACATGAACGTCCCATTTTCGCGGTATTATACCCACTTATCTCCAGGCTCTATTTCATCTGTTTTCAACCCTTTTCTCGCCGACCTCGCTACCTCTGTAGTGGCCGCCATTTGAGCTGTACGCACAGCGTACTTCGGCTCTCCTGCTTCTGCCATCTACCCTTCTTCTGCACTACCACATCTTATTTGTCTACTATCTCTCACGCCTCCTCTCCTTCATTATTCTTCCATCCCCATTCCTCATGCTGCTTGTCGGTTTTTACTTGACCCTCTTCCACTGACTTTAATCTCCCCACGTGTGTGGCTTCGATGAAACTCATGGCAGCTGGCGTAGCTTTGGGTTCTGCGAAGATCATTGATAGGGCATGCGACTTCGTGAAGCCTTCCTTCTTCAGCGTGGCCCACATCTTGCCTTGTTGCATTCTCCATAGATCGCAGGAAGCGGCCTCTTTCGCCGCGTTGTCTGCTACCACATTGCCATCTATGTCTTGGTGGCCTAGTACCCAGTGGAAGTGTACCTCTATTCCCCTGCTGCTCAGTGTTGCGTGGTTCTTCCGGATCTCTTCCGCTTTTCATTGCCCAGATCCTGGGTCCGGGGACTTGATCCTCTCCAGCGCGATCATATGTCAGCACTAGACATTTGCTGGCTATGATTGATAAATATAAAAACTAAGTACCAATAATCAACTGCCTACTTGGTCTAGTAGCTATGATTCCCGCTTTGGGCTTTGAGAAAAGCGTAAAATGCGGGAGGTCCCAGGTTCAAATCCTGGAGTGGGCCACCTTTTTTTCTGTTGGTGGTAGTAATCATTCATGTATTCGCACTCGATTTTAATATTCTCGGTTCTGAATTTAATTTTAACTTTTTCAACTTTCGCGGGGAGGGAGAGGGTGTTGAGGGAGGAAGGGCGGGGGGTGGTATTCAACTGCTAGGGGTGCGATATAGACAGCGAAGCGTGTAGGTGAGAGAGGTGAAGGGAGGAAGCGTTCGATTGTGGTGACTGAAAACTGATCCCTCGAGATGAGTAGGACTCCCGATGCAACACGACTCGGAGGCGACAATTCACTGGTCACTGCATTGACCAGTGCAGTGGGGAGAGAACGGCTCGGGGGTCCGAGTGACCGGCGGGCGCTGGTTGGTCAGGCAGTGCGGTGATGATGCCATGGATAAAACAACAGGAAGAGGATTAACCGGAAATCGACCCCGCCGTCCAATGATTAAACCACGAGCTTCATCTTGAACTTGAACTTGAACTTGAACACCACCACCACTACTACCACTACCACAATACCTTCAGGCCCGGGTGATGATTCAACTCCGACGGAGGTCCCAGCCGCGGCGGTCTCGGACTCAGATTTGGATGCCAGCGACTCGAGTCGGATTTTGCTGCCTGGAGATGGGGATTGGATAGACCCCGTGGCCTGATGATGGGTTCGTGTCATTGGGATGGTTGTAATTACGATTATGCTTTTCCCATCCCCGGACCCGCGTACCTGCTTAAGTTAACATTCTCTGATTCTTCTTCTGTAGCTATGGCGGTGCCGACGTGGACTCAGTGCATTGACTACATACCGCGGGGGTTCAATTACCTACTTATATCATATTATACCCAAAGCGGCCCTGAAAGCAGGGATGAATGAATGGATTAGGAGTCTGTTGTAGTATACGGTAGGGGATGTTATCCGAGTCCGAGCTGAACCCTCAAGCTTCAAGACAACACCCAACATCTTCATTCTCCCTCCGTCGCGTATCACGTGTCGTGCATCGTGAATCGTGCATCACGCATCATAGTAAATCACTCCAGCTCGCAACCTCGACTCTTGAATCTTGAATCTCGACTGTTTGTGTACCGTAATGAGCGGATACGAGCCGAAAGTTGGGTGGACTTCAATTCCTTACCAACTCTCATATGATAGCAATATACTATAACCTCGTAGATAGAGCGCCCGGCATCCGCACAAGCGAGTATTTGATGCTTGATGCTTGATGTTTGATACTTCATCTTTGATATCTACAATTCCATTCCCATCTCCACCACATCTCCAATCCCTCGCCCCTCGCTATCGTTGCCACCCCACTACAGTTTTGACCAACCCAACCCGGGTCCCGAGTCTCAAGTTATCTACACTCACTGCACCCTCAGCAGTCTGTCACAACACAAAACCCATCCCACCGTAAAAGAAAGAAACAAAAACCGGAAACTCAACAGAAAAGAAAGAGATAACGCGCGCACACACACATATCCGATTCGGGAGCAAATAACGAACCAAAATAACGAGGACTCAAAAGCACCTGGCTTAAGTTTTTGCGTATCATCACCATCAAACATCAAACCGTAACTACAGGGTGCAGGAGAAAACAAAAAGAGAAGAAGGAAAAACGAAAAAAAAAACGAAAAAAGAAAAAATTGACAAGAAAACGAAAAAGGTATGGTACATGAAACCGAAGACAAAACGAAGAAACCCCACAACGGAGGAGGTAAAGAGGATGAAGAAAGAAGAAAGAAGAAAGAAGAAAGAAACCAAGGACTGGAGGTCCGGAAACACAAAACACGTTCCAGCTCGCTCCTAACCAGCCTGGGGGATGTAGAACCGTAAAACGGATCGGACTGACTGATTCAGATACAGAACTCATATCCCCCCACAAGTAGTGCCATACCAGCTCCGAGTCAGCTCCATGTCCCTCCACACCGGTGCAACAACCCCCCAACCGCCGATTCATCGACTCATCGACTCATCACGCCATAACACACATCACCACATCACCGCATCAGCGCACCTCGACTGGCTACACTAAACCAAAGCCGGTAGAAATCTATCAAATCTCATCAGTGTCGAGTCCAACCAGTATCCCGGTGCCCCAACCACGAAACCCCCACATCCCTGAAAGGAAAGGACAGGAAGACTCACGTTGCACTCTGCCCTGTCTGCACCGAGTAACTCGGCGGATGACTCGAGCTCCGTTTTCTCTGATGCCCAAACGCCCTCCCCACCGCCACCGTCTCCTTCCCCCCAACACTTACGCTCTCACTTAGCGTGCGGTAGCTGCTCGAGAAGCTTGTTGTGTCGGCGGAGGCCGAGTGCGGCGGGTGATTGTGGTTATGTTGCTGATTCTGATGATGGTGGGGTGTTTGCGGCGGCTGGTGGGAGTAGTCCGGTGGGAAGGCGGTGTGTGGCGTCGGAGGGTACTTGAAGTCCGTGAGGGGGAAGGTGGCGGTTGGTGGGTTTCGCGGGGCGGTGTGGGAGGAGGGGGAGGGGTATGGTTGGTGGTGGTGGTGGGGGAAGCCTGGGGAGGTCGGTTAGAATACTGTACACTCTCCTCCCGGAAGGTAATGGGGCTTACCGTTGGTGTTGTGAACATACGGACTCTGGGGAGTATCCGGGGGCACGCTTCTCGGAGCATCATACTGCATCCCTCCCAGGGAGTATGTCGGCGAGGTTTGATATTCCTCAGGTATTGAGCCAGAGTAGCTTGTGCTCGCGGTCATCGGGCTGGCAGATTGGTCGGCCAGTGTGGTCCGCGGGGTGTCGTGTAGCTGGAGCCGTGGAACGCTGGGGTGTTGTCGGTATTGCTCTGCTGGTGTTGTTGCGGATGGGGCCCTGGAGAATGGGTTTGCGCGCTGCAGCGGAGATTGGGTCATGTAGCCGCCGTTGGACACCGGTGAGATGAGTTCGCCGTTGGTGCCATAGGAGGTGTAGGCCGCCGACTCAGAGTGCCGTCGGATGCCCGAGGGACGGTAGATTCCGGGGGGATGGTGGGCGTGGTGCGGGTGGTGAGATTGAGAGGGTTGGTGCTGGTGTTGGTGTTGATGGTGAGGATGGTGGGTGCTGGGGGAGTATTCGGTGGGCGAGGTGACGGGGGTGCCCATCATTCGGCCGCCATAGGTGTGGAGGGTTTGGAGAATGGGGAATTCTTCGGGGAGAGCGCGGGATTTCATCATCCGCTCGCGGTCATCCGTTGACATTCGTTTCAGTTTCGCCCGGCTGAAGAAAGTGTCAACATCGTCACAAACGTCACAACAGTATCATGATGAACATACCGGTTCTGGAACCACACCTGTACCTGACGAGGGCTCAGGCCAGGAATCTCGCGAGCCAGTCGCTCGCGATGAGCAGCATCCGGATGCGCCTGTCGCGCAAACTCGCTCATCAAGAATCTCGTCTGATTATGAGTAAGTCTATTATTGATGTTTAGATTAGCGGTCGATCAAGATATATTGGATTTGCGATCCCATCCCAAGATTTATTAACCCCGCAAATATCACATACCTGAAGCGCTTCATTTTTCTTTTTTCCTGACGATGCGCACCACCGTTGAGCGCAGCATCCGCAGACTGCGACTGGTTGGAAGTCATGTCAATAGAGTTGTGTCGCTGAGGAAGGTGTTCCGATGACGAGGACTGGCGCGAGCGAGGAGATCCCATCATAGACCCGGAGGAGGAAACCTGTGAATGGGTGGGGGAGCCCATAACATTAACTCCGTTCGTTTCGTGCGTTGCCCATTCCTCGCCTTCTGGGATGGCTGGCGAAGTCGTGTAGTGATTGTACGCAGACATGTGAGAGTCAGAAGGAAGTCCCGGGTCCTTTTCTCCAACCATTACTCCGCCCCCTCCAACAACAACACTCGTGGAGGGTGTGTCCCTCTCGAGCCGATCTCTCCACATGTGCGCTGCTGCTGGTTCCGTGCTGTATTCTGTCATCTCTGGGGAGGTGGTGCCAAAGCTGGTTGATGTTGCGATGTCCCAAGTTCCGAATCCTCTGTCTTCGCCGGGAAGTTGACGGTTTTGAAGTAGTGTAGGCACGATGACGGTATCGGGGGAGGAAGATGTAAGAGTGAGGAAGATCCGTGGGTCGAGGTGTTAAAGAAACAGACAACCCGGCAAGTAAATGCAGAGTCGAGGTGAGGATCCTTCCTTTTCAGAAGCAGACGGAGAACAGCGAAGGAGATCGTGAAAGCGGTTCACCGCTCCTGACCGGTATTTATCCCAGCAAAGCAAAAACCGTTTCTGAAGAAGGAGCAGGAGATCTGGCTATACTTAATAGCCGTGCGGAGGAAGAGCCGATTTGTATGGTGTATTCCCTCGGGGGGAAGCTTTTTTTGGAGAAAAAAAAAACCGAATTTCCCTTTCAACAATGGCCTTCTTTTTTTTCCCTTCTTTTTATCCTAACCACACAGTGGTTCTCCGCGTTGCTCCGTGGAAGGTGGTGCGAGGTGCAGGGCCAACGGAGAAGCCTAGATAAGTGACTAGGCGGTTATCCTGCAGTAGTGGTGGAAGAATGGCGGCGGGGTTGCAGGCACGAGGAAGGTGGGTGAAGTGCGCTGGATATAAGCCCGAGCCGGGGTAAACCTTGACACGTGCGGAACAGGGCAATTTGTTCGTGAAGAGCGGAGACAATGGCGACTGCCGATCTTTCCAACGGCTTTTTGCAGATAAGAGTGCCTGTGCAAAGGCGGTACGGCCTTGTTTTTGTTGTGGTTGTGGGTGAGTCGGGTAAAGACGATGGTCGAGCGAGTGAACGTGAAGCTGAGGAACTTCACCTGATCGTGCAGAAGCGGGGCGTATTTTCAAGCGCCGGGTGCCCGTGATGACAAGACCAACATGCGGGCGAGACCAGTCGGGGTAGAAGGCGAGCTTGTGGAAGACGTTATCCTTCCAGGGTAAACATGTTGATATAAGAGTTGAGTTGAGATCGGGGAAATGGGGAACTCAAGCCCGGAATCCGAACCAACGGATTAACGGAGCCGAATGCGGATGAGACAACTTCAGGAGTTGAGGGGGT